AGGTCATTCTCTAGATCAAATACAAAGTAGTACGAAGAATGTCTCACCTCTGGTAACTTTCTATCTCCAATTCTGTGTGTATTTGTACTACATCAATGTGCTAATGTCAGTGGGGATGGGCTTGTGGTCACAAGCATGTGCCAAGACTGATGTAGCAATTGGTTAATGCCATTATTAATTCAAATTCAAATACATTGAGAATTATCAGAGTGTTTAAATATCTTCCTTTCAGCCACATGTAATGATGAAATAGTTTTCTCTGAATAATTTTACCTGCTTGCTTGCAGGCTGTGGAGAAAATCAGGAGTGAGACGCCGAATAATTTGATGTCCTTCCCATGTTCTGAAAAGAACTTTTCACCTTCCTGTGTTACTCAGGAAATTGCTGTTGATATGGCCGAGCATGGAGGGTCTGAGTTTAACCTCGATGAAAGTTACCTCTTGAATCATCCAGTGTCAAATTTGGTGGATCTGGAGGATCAGAAGTCCTTGGAGATGAGATCTCTAAACAAGAGAGAGTGTGAAGTGGGCAGTAGTGGCTGCAAAGACATGAGGGTGGAATCAGAAAAAGATATGTCATCCTTGGCCCTCAATTCTGTTTCAAATGATAACAGGTTCCAAGATTTAATATGTCCATCAGGAAAGATTGGAGCTCATTCTGCCGGCATCCCTGCAGATTTTGTTGATGCTGTTGTTTATGGAAGTGACAAGGTACCTTACATGGAGCCTAACCCACAAGGCGTTTTCAGTGTTGTTAGACCTTCTGATGCAAATTTCCAAAAGGGCACATTAAAGTCAGAGTTGGAGACTGATCCTTCTTACAAGGATGTCCCATTCACAATGTTAAAGTTCCCTGCTGGCTGTGAGCTGCATGAAGCACTTGGACCAGCTTTTCTGAAACGGAGTAAATATTGTGATTTGGGCACATGGGTGAATCAAGATGTTAAAACTGCAAAGATGCCAGATGAGATTAGCTGTAGCCAGTTGACTTCTGAATCTCGTCAAGGACATCTTTTGGAGGCAGTAGTGGCCAATGTTCACCACAGTAATAATTATGCAAATAGTGACTTGTCATTTTGCACATCAGTGCAGTCTGGCGTAGCGTCTGGAAGAAATCCTGAAGCTTCTATTCAAACCACCCGCACAATTAATTCAGAATGTTATTCTATAGATCAATCCTCTCTTATCAGGGAGGAGAAACAGCCCTGTTTGAGTTCATCTGGAATCTGTGGTGTAGTTTCGCCCAAAGGTTTTTCTTCTGCATGTCCTAGTTCATGTAGTGAACGGTTTGAAAGGTCTTCTGAACCTGCTAAGAACAAGAAGAGGGCTAGGCCAGGGGAGTCTTGTAGGCCAAGGCCAAGGGATAGACAACTGATTCAAGATCGTATTAAGGAATTGAGAGATCTAGTGCCAAGTGGAGCAAAGGTATGTCCCAGTAATCCATGCTTATTAGTTCTGCCTCTACTAATCACATCTGATTTTCTGATTTCATTTGGCTAACAATTTTGTGATAACTCACAACAGTGCAGTATTGATTCGCTGCTGGAGCGCACAATAAAGCACATGCTCTTTTTGCAGAGCATAACCAAGCATGCTGATAAGTTAAACAAATTTACAGACTCCAAGACAAAGGTAAGGTTTAATGGGATTTCAATGGTCTACCTTTATCTCTTGTGTTAACTAATCTCTGAGCAAAATAAGTCATGTCTGAGCATTAAGGCCTTTATTGTAATTAACCTGATGAACTAACAGGTTTACCGGCTGTTATATGCACTAGGAAAATGTTCACAATTATAATATTGTACTGTGGTTTTGCAGGTGCATCACATGGAAGCAGATGTTCTTGGCTCGTCTGGCTATGAACAGGGTTCAAGTTGGGCAATGGAAGTAGGGGGCCATCTGAAAGTTCATTCAATATTAGTGGAGAATCTTAACAAGAATGGGCAGATGCTCATTGAGGTGTGTGAAAGTTGAGGGTTACAGTTTTGATTGATTTTGGGGGAGGTTCTTTGAATTTGAAGATATTTTCTTGGGCCTTTGCTGAATCTTTTATCTATTTATTTCTTTCATTCTTATTGTGTTCCATGCTGCAGATGCTGTGTGAGGAGTGCACACATTTTCTTGAGATAGCAGAAGCCATAAGAAGCTTGGGTCTGACAATTTTGACGGGTGCAACAGAAGCTCATGGTGAGAAGACATGGATATGCTTTGTGGTTGAGGTAGGAATAAAATAATTAGCAAGATTTTTTCTCTCGTTAGTAAATGCAAACTTGCTGCTCCGTTTTCTTTTTCAGAGGGTTGAAAAAAATAACACAGCATTGCAGGCAATGTGTTCCTGTAGTTCTAATGAAAATTTTATCTACATGTTTTGGTGTTATGGTGACTGATAGTCTACAAGTTTTAATAATTATCAAAAGTTAAATCTATTTAGACTAGAAGTTTGGCAACCCGTATTTACATCTTATTCTACTGTTCAATGCATCTAATGCGTCATTCTCATTTCTATTCCTTCTTTTTTGGGCCATCTGTTTGCCTGAAGCCTATCCTATTTCCCAACTCGATTCAATTGTAATCCAACTTTTTACATGTAATTCGAGTCCAAATCTTGTTGCGATCATTTACTTGAGTTGCTCCAGTATGCGTACTATTTTGAGCTAACAGCATCGCATGTGAATCTGTCTTATGGTGTTGCATACTTTACTTTATGCCTTAAAAGGTCTGAAGCCAACACTGTTCCGATTAGAGACCGAGTTGTCAACTGTTCTGATTGGAGTTATCGTAATTTGAATGGATAACTCCTTATTATTTTAATTATCTGTCGCAACCTGGGTTGAACTGTGCACTTGCAAATATTCATAACAGTTAACCTGTCACAGGGCCAAAACAACAGAAATGTGCACAGATTGGATATATTGTGGCCACTCGTGCAAATGCTGCAATCCCAGAGTACTATGTATTCACAATGATCGGTCAATTCTCGGGAGGCATCTTTACTCCTTCACCGACTCCTATACTGTCTTGATCTGTGAAATGATGCTTGACATCTCGTTGTGTTCATCAACCCCAGTTGCTCCAGCAAGGGAGGTCAAGGAAGGGGAAAATTACCTTACATTTGATGGGTTGCTATAATTGGTAGAGGATTGAAAGTGTGTCGAGATGCTAAATGGTGTTTGTTTTGATGTATGATTGGAATGTTTTTACAACTTGTTTATAAGGTTTGATATTAAAAATAAGATTATGAGTTGCACCAGCCTGTGTCTTATGCTTGGAACTGTGTCTGGAAATTCCTTTGGTAGGTTTCTCCTGTGCTGGTTCAGAACTTCTGTAATAGCCGGATCTGTTCAGAATGCGACTCGTTACTAAACAAAACTACTGTGCTAGTTCAATTGATTGCGTGCTTAAATTCAAAGTTTGGTATCAGACTCAACTTTGTTCTTTCTTCTGGGTTTCGAAAAATTTGATTTTGTGCTGGCGCTGCATAAGATAAGAGTATGGTCAGTGGGGATTTCGGATTTGCTAGATTTCGCACAAAAGTGTTCTGAAACTTTGGTGTGATGAATATTTTGGTTTTACTAGAGTTTGGGAACTAAATGATGTTCTCTCTCCATCTTTGCTCATAGTTTCTAGTCTATCGAGTCGTGTCAATCATTGGCTTTGCTACCTCCGTACTTATCATTGAAAAATCAGGAATAGGAAGAGAAAAGGAAAACATAATTCAAATACTACCTTCGCTCTTTAATATAAGAGTTAATTTAACTTTCAATTTTGTTTTAAATATAAAACCTGAATTATTTTTTTCTATGTTTAACAATTTTTTAAAGTAATTTTTGTAGTGGATGCACATGTGAAATGTTCAATTAAATGATAGTTTTAACTAATACATTATTAGTAATGATATTTTAGGAATGATAACACTTAACTCAACAAACTTTTTTAATTTATTCAAATTAACTAATTTTTATATTAAAGACCAGAAGTAGTATAATAAATTTAGGAAATATATTTCTCTTTTTTCCAAATCTGTTCTCCTTGTGCATCGTAATCTATTATTCTCTTTCATAGTTCTATCATATATATTTTGACGTTGATGAAGTGATGCGTTTACCAATTCAATCATCATATAAAATGGTGCAGCTTAGGTGTATTAGAATGGATTATACATCCTCTTTTAGAAGCAAGGCAAACAAAACTTCTTGTACATTCTTCTATAAAGAAGTTGACCCTTCCTCTTCTTGGGTGACTTCAATTTGTAATGCTCATTCTCTGAATGTACTCACTAAACATACACTTAGAACTAGGAATATTTGTAAAGTTTTTGATTGACTAATACATACCCTTTCCATTCAAAAGAAACTTGGATTTGTATTATCTTGCTTTTATCCCTAAAGATTCAAATATGCGCTACCTTGACAAACATGACGAAGAAAACTAACTAAAAAAGTAGTGCAGATAGTGTAACATGAATGCATTAGATGGTTAGGAATTAAATTTGATTACACATATAAAACTTTAATTCACTTTGTATCATATATTTATAGTTTTTTTTTTTCAAAATACTATTAAATGTAAAAAAACTCCCGTCAAAACAGTTTTGACCCACATTATTAAAAATGACAATTTTTTTGTTAATAACTAACTTAACTAATTTTTTTAAATATTTATAAATTAAATATCTAACTCTTATATCAAGAATAATATCTCTCCATGTATCGTTGGGCTCCTCGGATGAGCAGCCCAAGCCTGGTGGTGATGCATACTTTACGACGGAAGGTCGGAACGAGCACGACCCATGCCAAACAAGGCTGGGCATCTACATCAAGGCTGGCCTTTCGGATGATTCTAGTGAGCGGCTTCTAATTAATTAATTAACTCACTTGTAATTTTACAGAGCCTCTCCGTAACATGTGTTTGCCGGCAAGGGTGCGGAATCAGATGCACTCCGATCAAACGGGACAAAAAAATAGCGTCTGGTTATGGTCATGTGGAAGAATCACCGAGAGATTAACAAGAGCGTGTACTGCAAATAAAGCCAACTAGCCGACCTACAAATCCAGTTAGGTTCAACGATGGCTTTCAGAGTTCTTGTGCCGGAAACTATGACCAAGATCGCCAAAACAGAACAAAAGTTAAGAATGACACTCGGAAGTTTGAAAAAGCACAGGCTTTGAACTTCTCTTTTTCCCCTCTTGGCAGACAAAGTCTAGCAATCGAAAGATAGTTCCTAACCTCTTCCCAAGAGAGAAACCATAAATTAAAGAAAAAATTGTAGGCAACTACAATACTCAAATGAGAGCGAAAATTGGCTCCGAACCAGATACAAACCCTGGACATATCGTGGCGGATTCAAGAATGGCAAGAACCAGCAGGTAACCTGAGAAATTCCATGCAATATGGGTACCTCCCGATTGATGCCACTAATAGGTTTTTGTTTTGGGAGCCTTCTTCTTGGGTTGCCTTTTAGGAATGGAGTTTTTCATTCCAATGAAAAACAACAGAGCCCCAAAAAGAGCCATATTCTGCAAGATGTATTTCAATATCGTTAAACAAGCAACAGCTTGAATTTTGGCATGCAGAGACGAAAGAGAACCCAAAAAAAAAAAAAGGCAAAAGAACACTGCTCTGACCTGTGTAAATTTGATGAAAAGTTGATTGAACTCTTTGCCCTCATTATCATAATTGTAGAAGTCATACAGTATTGGAGTCGCAATCATCTGATGCAAAAGCTACAGGGGCCAAAAAGAACCTTAGTTCGTAAAACTAGTCAGGGCAAAAGATGAAATTCAATTCCAGAGTAAATTAATGAGAGAATTATAATGAGGTTCCAAGGAAGAAAAATAAGTAGCCTGTAAGTAGAAAATAACATCTGAAACTTTTTTGTAATTATTTTCCTTCCTTGGGCCTCATTGTAATTCTCCCTTAAATTAATTCATTATGAATTATCTGACTACAAACCAGGAGGACAGCTCCAAAAGTGCTTCCAAAGATGAAAAGGAGCCCCCCAATTCCCTTGAGTGCAATAGCTCCCGCAACCAAATATTTAATCTGCTCATGACATCAGTTATATAAAAAAACAGCCTACTAAAACACCTGAACTATGCAATACATGTGCTGCGTGAAAAACAGAGTATTTCTTCTAAAGTCACAGACTTGTGAGGGAAGGCATGCATATGATTAATATTGATGAAGGAGACGAAATTTTGTAGTTACTTTCTGTTGGTTCTCCTTTGAGATTCATGACCAGAAAAAACACAATCACCTAGCTTCTTGAGAGCCAAAATCTTTAAATAAATGCATTAAAAAGTGCCAGTGAACCTTAGGTCAAGCCCAATGGAAAGCCTTATATAAGTTAACACTTCATCCATCTGATCTATTGAGCCATGCTTTAGAAAGGAAGAAAAATCTGAAAACGTTGTTGAAATCACAAGCAATCTCCAACTTCAATCCAGATTCTCCAGCATATGACTTCTAATAAGTTTTTCCACATTTACTTTTCTATTTTAGTGTTTTAATCATGTTCCTGAACTAATTGAAAGTAAGCAAATGAAAGAGAGAGACTAACATCAATTTCTGGAAGTTGAAAGCCAGCATGAGAATGCACGCGGTGTGTAAAAGCATCAAACTTTGGTCTGAGTGCCTTCGCTGCAGGTCCCCCGTCTACCCCATATTCATTGAATCTACAAGGCCAGAGCAGAGAAGACACATTTAGAAAGAAAGTTAATTTAGTTTTGCAGAATTCGTCTGCAATAACTAGGACTTTGAGACTCTTAAGATTGACTTTGAATAATTGGAATCAAAGGTAGAACTGAAAAAACAGTGCAAAGCAGTACATCATACAGTCAAGGTACCCACCATTATGAAAAATTAACAGCATGTTAAAAATGGTTCTTTAGTCCATGGCAACCAGTTCTAATCCTATTTGGACGCTTGTGCCCCAGTTAAAACCCTATATGAATCATGATCTCACTAGTAAACTACAATAATGAATGCATTTTGAAAAAGAATCACAAATCCGGGTTCAGGTGAAAACCCTAAACAACCTTACCATGTACCATTACAATGTCATAGGCATATTCCCGTGGCTACTTGATATGGTACTAATTATGAAGAAATAAAAAGAGATCTCTGTATATATCTCGTTCTCACTTCCCAGCGCGTCAAACATACCACAAGAATAACACCCCCCCGCCCTCGAGACAAGGACATCCTAGGCGGACCGATTCTAGACAACGATACTGGTGGGGGGAAATCTTAAGCAAATTTCTTAAAGTGCAGCCCTTTTCATGAATGATTAATGAATGCCACTGACTAACTCCTTCCTTGCCAACGATGTCAAAAAGTCATGAAAAATTCATCGAGCTTCGAAATTGAGAGAAAATGACCAACTTGGGACGACACAGATGGTAGTTTCCCGGAAAATCAAAATAAGAAACATAGATCTATTCAGGCCTCTCACACTAAACGGATCAGGTAAAGTTCAAAACTTTAATGCAACAGATCCGAGCAAAGCAACTACTAAAAAGAATCAATTGAAGAACTTACTTAAACATCGTAATTTTTATCTAACATAACAAAAATACAGGCATATACGCTGATAATAAACAAACATCGCATGAAAAATGAGAAAAAGAAGGGAAGAAAAATGAGTCAACGGAAGATATATACTAACTCTTGGTAAGCAGCGAGTATGAAAACGGAGGCGAAGAGGACTCTGCCAAGAAAAGAGGCGAAGGCCATATTCCGCTTCTCGCAAAAGCCGTGCGGAGAGAGGAAATCTAGAGACGACCTGAAAATCCTGTCTTCTAATTTTCCGGGACAGAGAAATAGAGCGAGCAAGACGAGATTTGAAAGGGAGGGCAATTCAGTCCTTTCGTATGGTGAATGTAAAATGGGTCCAGCGACGCAGTATCCTTGCGGTGGCGAATGCCGATGCAGGCTGCTTTATTGTCGCAGCCTCGCAGGCATGGGCCGACGACCGAATTTAATTTGATTTTTCCTATTTAAGAATTTTTAACATTATGAGTAATATACCTCTTCTCTGTTTTTCTAATATTTTTCACATACTTGACATAAAATATGTTATCTATGAAAAATTAAAAATACACGCGGCTGATGTGTATTTACGCACACATTACTATGCAGAGTTCTGTGAAGAGAAAATAAATACTAGCATTTGTTCGGTGGAGAAAAATGGTAAACTTTTAATTATGCAGGCTGGCTACATGTGCTCCATGATAAAATTGGTATAAAGATATAAACTTTGAGTATGCATTTCATTTATATTTTTAAATACATCAAATGTGGATGCCCCTTTAAAGTCTAGTTTCATTTCCATCCTTCCCCATTTATTTGCATTCAATTCCGTTCCCTCTTCTGATATCATAAAACGATATTTCCAGCAATATTAAATTGGGCATTTGAACAGTTACAGTTTTATGTTAATTATGTAATTTAATCTGGGTTCAAAAAGGACAGGTGCCCAACTACTCCCTAGATTACAAGGTAGGATGGGCACCACAGGTAGAGCCATATTTTACGCTGAGTAAGAGTTTTTTTTTTTTTGGTCAAAACGCTGAGTAAGAGTTGACAGGCCTGGGGGTTGATGGGCCATCTTGGCCATGTGCCTCTTGTAACATGATAAAGTCTTAACATTTAAGTCCATTAACATATTATACCTCTTATTCTTAGTACAAGAATTTATTTAATTTTTATTGTGATTCTAAATATAAAATCTTAATTCACTTTATCTCTTATATTTATTTATTTTTTTATGATAGTCCTTGTAATGATTACTTTTCTAATCAATATGTTTGATTCGCAAGGATATTTTAACAAAAATAATATTTATTTATTACAAATAACTAATATAATTAATTTTCTTAATTTACTCAAATTTGTCAACTAGTTTTTATATTAAGTACTGAAAGTAGGAGTATCTTAAAGTTTGATCTGAATTTAATAGCCACGTATATTAGTTTGTGAAGCACTGGATCATCGTCAGTCCCCTTTGTGCTGCTCTTTTTTGCTCTTATGGTTTTACCCTTTGCCTGTTGTGTAATGCAAAGAAACATAAATGTGTTTTGGGTTAAATTTATTATCTGAATATAGAATTAGGCACAAACCATTTTAGGTGTGTTGTTCCTCCTTAAATGAGATTACGATGTCTGATGAAGTTGAAGTAGCTGCAGGGTAGTTAATTACAACTCCCAACATTGAAGTGCCTTCCTTTAATTTATTATCCCAAGTAAATGTCTAACCTGTAACCTACCAACAAACTATGATACATCATGGGGCAGTTATATGTCATTTGGATAATTAATTGAACTCATTGATTTTGTTTATTGGGTGTCTAAACTCAAATTTTCTTCATTCCATATAGGGCTGTTCACGAGACGGATCGGGACCGGGACAAGCCCGTCCCGGTTCCATCCCGATGAACAGTAACGGGACATATTTTCTGTCCCATGTCCCGGCCCGTCCCGGGGTTGTCCCGGTCCCGGTCGGGACGGGACGAGACCGGGACGTCCCGAACATTTTTTTAAAATTTTTAAATTTTAAATTTTTTTAATTTTTTTAATAAAATCTGAATTTTTAATTATATTTTTTTGGGCTTAAACCTTATAAAAAACATCTTTTTATTTTTTTTATTTGTTTGGGCACTCTTAAACAAAAGCTCAAAATATTACATATAATAATCATTAAAAACTCTAAACAAAAGCTTTTAACACAATAAAAACTTGCTAAAAATTCTAATAATCAATAATCTCATATCATTAACAAATATAAAACTTTAAATAATATATCTATAGTTTCATACAATAATCTCAAATCTCAAATCCCGTCCTGGTTTGTCTCGTCCCGAAATTTCCCGTCCCAATAAGACCGGGATCGGAACGGGCCGACCGGGACGAGCCGGCCTTGAACACCCCTAATTCCATACACTCCGTCCTGTCATTATTATAAGTTTTAAATAACTAATTCATATATAACGGATGACTAGTTAAAATTAGGTAAAAAGAATAAATATGTTAGAAATATATTTTATTTTTAAATATACCTTTATAATAAATGAGAAAAATGATGAAGAAACTGTGTGGGGAAATGTGATAATAGATAAATAATTAAGGACAATATTAAAAAAAATATTAAATGTTAAGACAAACTCAAATTAAAACTTATAAAATGGACCACATTTTTTTTTTTCAAATTTGAAACTTATAACCAGCGTCTGACTATATGTGTGCGGGCGCACGCATAGCCTTTTCTAACTCCAATTTGCTCAGCGATACTGAAGACCAGGTTAAAGTTAGGTGTCATGCAGGAAATGGAATTAGAAACACAAGTCCTTCCTCAACTCTCTCTGATTTGATGTCGACGGACGTTGATCTCCCTCCACCGTTGACCTCAGTCTCCCTTGTTCCTTCTTAACACCACTACTGCTGCTCACTTCTTCCTTCATAAACCATAGCAGTTTTCTTCCTTTATTTCTTTTCAATCTCATAGAAAATTAATTTTAGATCAGATTATTCTGACCTTTTTCATCCTAAAGCCTCTATTATTCAAATGGCCATACTACTAAACAGAAATCATATACTATATATATATATATATATATATAGCATTTTATTTCATGCGTTTCCAAAGCTTCTGGTTTCACTTTTCTTCTACGGTGTTCCTTCTCATTTAATTTCTTATATCTATTTCATTTAAAGGTCCTCCCAACGGGGAATCAGAGTAGTCATAATTTGAGTCCAAAAAAAAAGAGTAGTCATAATTTTATTTAATTTTGAAGTCTTTTTTTGACAGCTTGTCAAGCGCTCGTACGTTTACTTCTTTTCTGATGCACCTTTTGCTTTTTGTTTATCCCGAGTCTATAACGATGATAACTTTTGGGGTTAAATATATTATCTGAGCATGACGATGTGTGGCTAAATCATCAATTATATATGGAAAAAAGCACAGACCATTTTGAGTAGTGCGTTATAACATGGTTGCTGATTAAATCAGATTATGAAAGGCCCTATGGGTTTCTAAACGTTGGTGATGAGCCCATTGGTCTGCAGCGCATAACCCTATATTATTTCAAAAAGGAAATGGGTCAGTTAGGTTTAATAGGCAAGGCATAATTGTGTTCAAAAGCGATTAGTATGAGTACTTGTTTTGTTGTTTACTTCAATTTTAATGGGAAAGAGTCCATCATTACAAGCCTACATCCTTAGTGATTTGGTAGAGCAGGACCCAACATATCAAATGATACGTTGCATTATTTAGCCCAGGAAGGTTTGGCTGTATTTGTTGTCGCGGCTAGGCAAGCCCTTCGGGCATTATAGCATCTAATCTCAGCCTAAATCTGTAAAAAGCTTAGCATAGCATCTATATATATATATATATATATGTTCCATTTTCTGTGTTAAAATCAATTACTGTTTGATTCATACACACACACACACATATTTCAACTGCAAATTTAAAACTGTAAGTCTTGTCTTCTTCCCTCAATCATATCCTCATCTGAAGAAATCCCCGTGCATGCATGTTCCCATCAATTTGGTTGTCTCTTTTAACTTTTTGGTGCTTGCTCATTTGCTTGTGTTCCTTTTCTTATTGGATGTATTGTTCATCTGAGTAAGGTCAAGCCAGATAATCGAATATGGGCCTATATATCTCAGTACTGAGGCCCAAACCTAATCTTGTCTAGTTTAGTGTGCTCGAGCACATGCACAGGGACCGAGGAAGAAACAAGATTTACAAGAACGGTACCGTTGATTCAGTAAATATTAATATAATCCACCTTTAAGTGGAAAGGTTTTAAAAATCAAAAGCTTGGAAAAAGGCATAGTAGTTAGGTGTAGAGTGAAAACTAATGGAGACCGAATGGGAAGAAGGGACCTAACTGATGTGAAAATTCCATCTCTCTAGAGATGACACGTATAACAGGTTGATTTTGCTCCTCCTTTTAACGTACTTGAGCCTCTTTACTAAATCAAGGAACTAATGTCTTTTTCCCCCATTAACTATGTATGAAGCATAAAATCTATATATGTACACGTGTAAGCGGGGCGGCAAAATTAATATTTGTGTATGGCTCCAGTGGGGCCAGTATTTGGGTCAAGATCAGATGGAGAAAATTGCAAGTAACTTAGCTTGTTCGAAACAAATTAAGCCTATATAATAACCAATTAGTCTAGCTACACATGGGTTCATTCTTTAAAACAGTTTCTGTTTCTGTCATTTAGATACTGTGATCATTTTGTAGGGCCTACTCTGATTTTAATCTCATACCTTAAGAAACGTTATAGTCATTAATCTTATTAG